CATTAAAATATATACAATTATGATCACTAAAAAATACATCCTCCACACAAACATCCTCTGGAGAAAACAAGGTCCAATGCATGGCCTTTTTTATGAGTAGGCACACACACATGCTGGGTAAAATGAAATCAGCAGCTGCATTACAGGAAGCATCATCAATATGTAGATTTAAAATCACCCAATATTAAAACATTCTCCAGATTAATGATGGCAGACAGCAGCTCAGTAAATTCAGATAAAAACACACTGGCTGCACCTGGAGGACGGTAAATTAAAATACAGTAAAAAGTTTCCAAAGAGCCAACTTTGATTATTTGAAGTTCAAATGCAGAGAATGTGGCTGAATTAACAAGTCTGCAGGAGTAACGATCTTTAAACACAGCCGCTAATCCACCGCCTCTGCGCAGTTTTCTAATTTGTTTTATAAAAAAATTTAATGATAATTTATTATGTTTAAACCAATTTTGTACTTTTACAAATTCCATTTCCATCATTTCGAGCACSTGCTCTATATTTTTAGCCAGGAAAAAAAATGTAGTGTCGTCTGCAACTAAAACACATTTAAAKAACCCTGATACATTTACCTGTGTCCATATTTCTATCTGTCTATCTTTCTGTCTGTCTGCCTTACAGCTTGTGTATCTCTTACTTTGCCAGTCTGTGTGCGTTTCTGTCTCCGGTTTTGGAGTTGTCCCTCAGAAATGACCCATTCTTTTAGATTTTTGTTTTCTCTACAGTTCCTCCAAACATCTTTTTTCCACATTGTTAAGTTTTCCATGACATTCAACCTAAACTGTTCAASTGAAAAAAGATCAGGGTCTTTTTGTCACTTCCTGTTTCCAGACATGCTGGTTCAGCCAATCATCTCTGTGTCCACTTTGAACGGGGTCTCCGATGCCCAGCAGCACAGGTTTCTAGTGTACACAGGCTCCAGCTTCAACATCAGCTGCTCCATCCAGCCTCAGCATCCAGGAGGCTCTTTTCACCTGAAATCCACCTTCTCCATCACACCACACATCTACACTCAGCCAGCTGTTAATCACTCTGCACTCTTCCTGTTTCCTGCTGCAGAACCCGCTCACAAAGGATGCTGCAGTTGTGTTTATAAACTTAATGTGTTTACTCATAACCTCTCGTCTGAGAGTCCTAGTCTGTCTCTGACTGTCTCAGGTGAGCTGAAGCAAATACTCTGATTTTCCTACTGACCGTTTTCATGTTTCCATCTAACAGGCATGTTTGGTTCTGAGTAGAAGTCTGGTTGTTTCACAGTTTGAGTTTTTTTACTATGTAAGTGGGTCTGCAAAGCTCTTTGGACCTGATTAAATACAAGTGGAAACTTGATAGCTGATCGTGTGCACTAAAGATTGTGTCTGTCAAACGAGCAAAAAAGCAGGTGCAATTTAATATGTTTGCCTTCATAAATAAACAGAAGCTGGCCGTGTAATTCTACTCGTGAGAATGACACAGCCTCTGTTGGATGACACAGATAAGGAAGTTGGCTTCCATTGGTCTCTGAAACAACATCTATTTGTACATGATGGAAAGATAGATCCACTGAAAACTCAAAGCAGTACTTCTGAACAAATTGTACATGAGGTTTACAACAACATCATGGTAAATGGACTGAACTTATAGAGTGCTTTATCAAGTCCCTCCAGACCCCAAAGCACTTTACACTTACAGACATTCGCCCATGCACACACACATTCACACACTGATGATGGTAAACTACATTGTAGCCACAGCTGCCCTGGGGCACACTGACAGAGGTGGGGCTGTCATGCACTGGCACCACCAGACCCTCTGACCACCATTAGTAGGCAAGGCAGGACAAGTGTCTTGCCCAAGGACACAACAACTGAAGCAGCTGGACGGTGGTTTGAACCGCGGTGACCTTCCGGTTCCAGAACGACTCCCCTAACCACTCTGCCACAGCCYTCCATCAGTTGTATCATGTCACAGATGCGATTGATGGACCAACTGCTGGTGTGCTTGGTCTGATGGTTATCAGAATGTGCAAAATACAGGGAGGAGGATAAGCAAATGTATTCATCTAGCACTCGCAATGTGATTTATCAGACCTGAAAGTGATTGTGGTTGCAGTTTTGGCATCTACAGGGTTTAGACAATGAAAGTGAAACACCTGGTTTTAGACCATAACATCCCTTTCAGACAGCTTCCTCTTGCATCCACAGTTAATCCTGTTGGATGTGGTTGGTCCTTCTTGGTGGTATGCTAACATTACCCTGGATACTGTGGCTCTTGATACATCACAAAGACTTGCTGTCTTGGTCACAGATGCACCAGCAAGATGTGCACCAACAATTTGTCTTCTTTTGAACTCTGGTATGTCACCCATAATGTGTGCATTGCAATATTTTGAGAAAAACTGTGCTCTTACCCTGCTAATTGAACCTTCACACTCTGCTCTTACTGGTGCAATGTGCAGTTAATGAAGATTGGCCACCAGGCTAGTCCAATTTAGCCATGAGACCTCCCACACTAAAATAATTTACTTTTAAAATGTGTTTCAGTTTCATTATCTAACCCCTGTATATGTAGCACCTTTGATAAGTAGGTGCAAACTGACACAGCATTACAAACAAAGACTTTGGTTATTGTGGTGAGAAGAAGGCACAGGTACAAAGACAGAGAGAATGTTCTGTGTGCACGTCAACATATTTGAACTGTCAGAAATAKAATTAGAAGAGACATATAATTTTTGAGCTGCTGGAGGACCCAATGGCTGATTTGGAACCAGTCACGCATAGAAGCCATAKCCTATCACCTGTGGAAAAACTCTTATACCACTGCAATTTCTTGCGTCTGGATCATTTGCCTCCTCCACTCACCTCCAGCTCCATGGCTTCAAACCTCAATTTTCTTTTACCGCCGTTCTGCTCTCCCAAACTCTTATGGTGACAACCAGTAGTACCCACAAAATCCTCATGTCAATAGYGCAATCAAGCACCACTTTTGCACCTGTTATCATTTGCGGAGCAATTTTAGTAGACTTCCTGCACCACGCCCACTATTACCATGTTCAGCTTTTTAGTTTGCACATGCAGTTTAGTGCTTGTTATTTAAAGGGGCAATATTTTGTGTTTCTCAGGTATATATTTAAATACTATACCATAAGTCAACTTTATTTGTTATTAAAATGCTGTTTTTATGTTTAAATAGAAAATAAACTTATCTTCTCATCACTTCCTCTTCTAAACGCCTTGTAATTGGCCTCTGTCTCTTTAAGAACCACCTTCTGCTTCTGTCCTGCCCATTTGGGGGGGGGGGGGGGGGCTATGGTGCTGCTTTCTTGGCATCTGAAAATATATGTCCTCAAAGGTATTTGAATCTGAAAAGGGCTTCATTGAATGAGAAGCAGTGTTAAGAGCTCAGCAGACAGTTTCAGTTTCACACGTTGTTGCTGCTGAGAGCCTGCAGGAGTCAGGGGCGGGAGGTGGCTGGGGAGATGTCCTCAGTGATGAGGAAACTCGGCTTGGAGACACAGTCCAGAGGCGGAGATGGTCCCAAAAGGCGGTTCTGGTCCCAACCTGTCGTTTCTGCTCCCCTGCCTGGCTGCCTCAGGACGGCACAGGATTTCTCATACATGCATGAATGAGTCAAAGTAAGAATGTGGGCATGTTTTTGACGAGAGGATACCATTATAACATGATATAAAACTCAAAAAAGTTGATTTTACATGATACAGCCCCTTTAATAACTTAGGAGATCCGACKCTTGGAGTTCTGTTTGTGTTTAAAGGCAGCTGTTGGACTTATTTTGCTGTGATATTGACAGTGAATGTGTTTGATCAGACCCAACAGTTCTCATCAGAGTGCTCGTCCTGCTGCTGACTCTGCTGCTGGTGAACGTCGGCCTGTGTTTCTACTGGAAGGTACATGTTTGGAGTGAGCCTGTGTTTGTTCAGAGGCAGAGAGGACTGATGCTCTCATTCAGGTCTGTGTTTTCTGTCACATCTCATCAGCTTGTCAGGGGCCAGATGTGGAGCAGACAGGAGAACATAAGGCTGGTTGTGTTGAACGTGGGAGTCTCTGCAGCTGAAGGTGAAGCAGTTCAGGAAGCAGAGGAGAACCTCTGAGGAGCTCCTCTAACATCCCTAGGAATTACTCAGCTGACAGACACAGAACCGTCAGGAAGGATTAGTGATTCACTAACATACAAAATATTTCACATCTGGTCTATTGTTCCTTTTTATGCCTCCATCTTAGTATAAACTCAATAATTTCCTGATGCAGTTCAAGGAATGGTTGTAGTGAAACTGGAAGAACTAGCTAAGGATCCAAAATTTTATATATAAATTATAT